AATGTTTTCGTCATTTATTGCATTACAAAACCTCAAAATTTTATATACTTTTTAAGAGTTACTAACATGAGTATTTCAATAAATAGAAACAGACACTTATATTGCTTCATTTTTTCATACTGTTCTAAGCAAAATTTTTATAAATAGACTATCCCCCCAATCCTTTGCTCATTGTTATCGTGTGTGTGTTTGTGTGTGTGTGTGGGGGGGGGGTCGGAGACAGTGACTGAGGCCTAACATAGGTATCATCCTAACCTTGAACCTCAAACCTCAAACCTCAAACCTCATATCATATAATTTTGCATGGTCTTTTCTCTTCTCTCTTTCCTTTTCCTTCTCTTCTTCATCCGTTATACTGTCCACTTCCTAACTTGTGAGAGCCATGCTGAACGGATGAAAGGCTGGCTTTGTGTCAGTTATGAATGCCTTTCGGAAGCTATGGGCATGGTATTCCTTTGGTTAATTGCCTAGCCATTTATTTCAGGCTCATCATGGCCAGTAATCAAGATGTTTTACCAGTATTAGGGGCATTAAGACCTCGTTCCTCTCTTAATACTTGTATCAGAACTGTTTCCATCTTCCTGACTGATTGTCCAATCTATTACATGGGCTAGTCAGACTGTGAAAACGACCTGCTTCCCTGCCTTGCTGACTATGATACAGTTGCAGTACAGTGCTACACTATTTCTACCTGAGACCAGCATAAATCCTACACCAATATTTCCAAAATTAGCTTCCGTAGACATGACTTCCTCCATGACGTTGATATTAGTGGTGTCCTGCCCTTTCCAACCATATCAACCTTTTCCCTGTCAATGTCAGAAAGGTTGGCATTTGCCACCCAGCCAAACAATGTCACTCCACAGCCCACTGCCCTCTATGTATCCAACCTGGTCATGATTCAATTTGCTCTGCTCAGACACGCACGTGTGCCAATTGTGCTAGCTCCCATGATGTATTTCATTGGGGCTGCCCTATCTACAAGTTTGAGTCTGAAATAGCAATTTTCAGATTCAAAAATGGCCTCACTTTACACAAAGCCACACAGGCAGCATGTTGATGAGTTTTTTTCTCTCATGCTCTATTCCAAAAATGTCCTTCGCCTTGCCCCTCCCCTTTCATCCCAAGGTTTCTACATCACCCCTGTATCTCTTCCTCATCCTACTTCTACCCCTTCCTCTCCCAATCAAATTCTTTTGCCATTCTAAATCCAGTTACTTGTATATATTCTCTATTCTTGTATATATACTCTATTCCAGATAATCCAATAACTATTTCCCTGTTACCTTCCCCTCTTTCTCCTTGCTGAATCATCGCACAAGACAAGCTTGTTGACTATGATGCTCCACCCCATCTTTTCCTATCCTATCCTTTACTGCCACCCCTCAAACATCTGTCCCCTCTTCTCCCCTCATTGAAAACCTTTGTTTTACATGCTTCCACAACCAACTCTACTTTAGAAACTCTTGAAGACATTCAAAAATATCTAATTATGAACCAAGATAACTTACCTACACCTCCAATCTCACTGCTCTTATTCCTTCTACACTCAAAGTAATTTCTCATGTTCCTTCAATACCCCTTCATCCTACTCCCTCCTAATGCATCTCATTCCTTCCTGCTTCAGCTGCATCATCCCCCTTCCTTCCCCATTATCCATTCTGCTTCCCCCTGGATGAGACCCTTTGTCACAACAACCCCTTCCCTGGATTCTCTCCCTTAACTGATCTAATTGCTCTTAAAAACCTTTTTCCTTTGTTAATCCTATTTTATCCTATGAACATCCTTACAAAATCCCACACTTCCTCTGACACCTCTGATTTAATAACCCTACATTCCTAAACTGCTATAAGACTTCTGACATGAAGCACATTTAATCATCAACTAACCCTCTCTTTACTCTTTTCACGATCACAACACGCCTTTCTATAGTACTGTATGACCTTTGATGTCTTACACATTTATATTGCTTTGTAACCATCAACCAAAATTAAATTATACACATCCATATTGCAATCCAAAGAAAGAATATAATTCTAATAGAATTAACCCATTTACGACTGGTGTCCCATATATGAGATACCCAGAAATATAAACATTGCCAGGCGTCCTGCTAGTGTGACATTAGATCGGAGCTTGTGCTCCGAATGCATCACAGGCTGCAGCCGGCTCACGGGCAGAATCTGAGCAGGCCCTGCATGCCAATTTTGTAGCCACCCCAAAAATATTATTTTTGTCTTCAAAAATTACCAGCGGTAGTAGGTTTGAAAAAAAAAAATATATCTACATCTATATCTATATCTATATCTATATCTATATACATATATATATATATGGTGAGGAGGCCTTATTCGTTTGTGATGTAATATTACACAGGAGTCTAGACTTTGTGGCTAGGCCTAAGCTGTGTATAGCCAGCGCATCCACTACAAATCATGACACATTTCCACATCACTGGTTGTTATGTCATGATGGCTATAGCCTTCATTGTCACCAAGGGATATATAAAAATTGTAAAGAAAAAGGTCAAAATAAAAGACAGAATCAAAACAAGTTGAAATGCTACATCCCTACCTGTTCACCCGAGTGGATATTCCAAAGCCGAATGGTTGAATCGAGAGACGAAGAAGCAGCCATGGTTCCTTCAGCATTGACGTCTACTGAAATTACACCAAGGGAGTGGCCTTCCAGTGTGTGCATGGCAGACAGCTCTCCTTCCACACCATCGCCTGTCCACCGCCAAACCTTTACAAGGTCATCTAACCCACCCGACACCACATACCTCTGCTCCCTGAAAAGCAGAGGAAGTTGGAAAAGTAAATTTGATATCAACAAATTTTGCATTGATACAGTACTCAAAATAATACTTTAAGAATTTCTGCATGACAATTTTATAACAATATTTCATTGATGCTTAAACCTAACTTTTTTTTCATCTTGGATATCATGGCTTTCCTAATTTAAAAAATTCTTAAAATAGTGAGTCTTAATAGTAAAGTAATTTGAATACCCAGCACAAAAGTGAGTATTTGTCCATACTCACGTATCAGGCAGATTATCTCTGTCCTTCTCATTTTCCTCATTCTCTTTATTCTCCTCTCCATTTTCTTGCTCTTTGTCTTCACTTGTTGACTCCTTTGATTTATCCTTAGGTACATAATGTCCCCAGGCACAAGCCCAGATACCTTCGGAATGTGAATTCTCACGTTGTGTGCAGTAGTGAAAACTGAAATTTAAAGTTAAATAAACCTTTGTAAAAATAGTTATGCATGAAGATACTGGAACAGGACTGCAAAATAGCTTTTACCTTCTGGGAATTGTTTGGAAGAGATTTCGAACAACAAACCTTTATACACATAAATAAAAAAATAAAAAATCAATCAATATCACAAATTTATAATATAGGAACTAGAGAAGTAATAAGCAAAAAACATAATGCAGGAGTAAAACAAACTTCTTTCTTCCATCAAACCCCAAAAATAATCCAGCTGCTTCACAGCTGTAGCAGATAACACCTACCAGATATTTAATGAAATATCATGAGGCAGACAACACAATCAAAGGGTCTAATGGGTACCTACACAAATAATGGCAGCTGGAATTCACATCACCTGCAAGATGCTAATTCTCAGCTCTCATGAAAACACCAAGATGCCATGTCACAATGCATATAATGTCATTGTCAAATGAATGTTCTTATGTGAGTGCCCTATCTTATGTACAACATTTTGAAGGTGACAGCCCTCAGAGGACCTCATTTATAGTCAAAAGACAAAATACAAAATATATCAGTATCCACATTACTCAAAGTAGACCTTTATTAGGCAGGATTGTCAAAGAAAAACTATTTCACTTTATAAACTTCAGTGACTGGTAGTGTTGTCAAGGCAGAAGGGAGCAAACCATATCCATTTCTTGGCAAGTATTAATAGAAAGCCAAATATCACATTTTCTGGTATGTCAAAGCTAGAACAGTGTCAATATGAGGCCTTGCTATAAAAGAATAAAATATGACTTCAATCTTTCTAGACTATACTCTAGAAGAAAAAAAATATGGCTGACTCTTATCATCACAAGGGCACCTGACATTTCGGGTTCAAAGAGTTTTTGCAAAAAGGAATATAACTTGCTTTCCTGGAAATTATCAGGAAAGTTGTCCCATCCTCTTATTTCCTTATCCCATTTTAAAAAGTTGATTTGCAGAAATGGTAAATGCAGCATACATGAGGTTACATCTATCTCAATTTATCAAACACTATCTCATGACAGTAGAGTAGTCTCATATTGCCAATCTATCTTTAATAACGAAAGTCTATTCCAGTTATCCGATGTACCTTTTTTATGTCAATATCAGAAAGTCATAAATATCTTTTCGGGAAGAAGAGAGCAATTCATAAGGAAAACTTTCGTGTCGAATATGGGCTGCCCCTTTCATATGTCATCGTCATTGGGAGGGTCCTTCTCCAAATCCATTCATTGCAAAGATTTAATTTGTGTCTTGAGCAAGAAAAAATCCAAAATGCACCGAAATTAATCAATAACAATTTTGCTGTATCGTCAACACCAATCAAAGCCGTACAAATAAATAAATAAAAAATATATATATAAGCCGAAAAAGATGCTACTTACCATCCTGTTTTGTTTACGTTTAGCGACAGCGTGGTAACTTCGCCGGCCGCAGGTAGATGGCTCTGCTCTGAAGCGGATACTGATACATTTGAATTAGAGTTGTCATATTTATTCTATCGTATATCTTATATTACCAATCAGCTTATTTAATATATAATAGTCATCTTCAGCATTTCATGAACACATGCGTACTTTCTCACACGTAATGATGCGGCGTATATATTCATTTGAAAACGATAGAAACCAACTAATTACCACACAAACGATAAATTAATACCATCCTCTAAAAAATACTTACTTCGCGTATATTTCTCCACGACAAAAAACAATTCAACAAGTCCCCTATCTCACAAAAAGGTTTAAGTCCGTCGATCAACCGCCGTGAGATTCGTAAACAAAGATGGCGGAGGAAGCGTCTTAGCGATTTAGGCGGCGTTTGAATAATGTCTTTGTGTGATTGGAAAGAGACAGAACAAGTATCTTGTTTGTTCTGAAGAGGCTGGAAGTACCATGAAGCTCCTAAAACCGCCTTGGATCAACCATGATGGTGAGTAGGTCAAGTATATTTGGGGGAGTTATTCAAGGTATTGTTTGGGCATGTGACCTGACCTGACCTCCTGTCTTTAGACGTCAAACCATCTGATATAAGGTTACGTGTCATGTGGTTTACTATTTTGGGGTGTCGGAGGGTCACACTGAAATAGCTACGGGAAATCACACTATACTATTGTGAGAAGATTGAGCCGAAAGGTGGCGGTGCAGGTGGATGGCTTGACACATCGCTTGAGTAAGTTAACGTGCGGTAAACACTTTTATACCGTCTCTGAAGGGTATCAACGTGTGTAATAACTGTGATGTACCACATATGTGTTCTTTATTGCGCGAAGGCCGTATTGTATTTGATAGTGTCGGTAATTTGTGTTTATATCGAGCAGTTGGAAATCTGAAGGGATGGAGTGCATGTTGAACATTTGATGGCATATTTGGAAGACATGGTTCGGTTTATATGTATTTGCCGAATGGTATACTTTAGTTACAGAATCGTTGCCTAGATTCTTAAGAAAGTTATGCAATGTCAATATTAATGAATTTAACATTAATGAACTTGTGATGTGCATTGTCCAGATATAGAATTTAATTTTGTAGACACCAATGCCAGTGATGATATTTGTTGGAAATATATGGATTGCACGTGAGAAATTAGGAAATATGTAAATGATACTCTTAAAGTATAATGACATATTTCAGATAGTGAAATAAATGCAACATTGAGAAGGCCAACATAGGTCTCTTATTTACTGCAAAATGACAAAAATATCCGCTGCATATCGTTGCTCAGAGACTAAGTCCAAGACTCGCTCACACAGCCACAGTCCTTAATATTGCATTTTCTGTAAGGTAGCACTAAGTGTTAAACCATTTACAACGGATGTCCCATACATGAGACACCCAGAAAAATAAACATTGCTGGGCATCCACCAGTGTGATGTTGGATTGAAGCTCGCGCTCCAAATACGTCATGGGCAGCAGCCAGATTCCGGGCCAGCCAGCCAGCTGTATGGGAGTATATATGAATCTATATTTATGCTGGTGTTGCATAAATATAGATTTCTGTAGGCCTATAACAAGGTAAAACAAATATGTCGCAAAAAATTGAGAACGTTTTATATACTGATTTATTCCTGTACAGTTATGCTCATTCACTGTGCAATAACATCATATCCCTAATGAAATAGTGTCCTTAATTCATCTTCCAATTAATGACATTGTCCTCTACTTTGCTTATTTTATTTATTCTTGCTAATATCTAATCACCAACACTATGAGAAACATAATTATAATGATCCATGAAAGCTATTACATGCAAATCAGGTTAAATTGTTCTGTTTGTGTATAATCAGTAATTATGAAATGATTGGAACTCATAGTTAAGGTTAACTCTGTCTGCTCTTCTAAACGGCCATGATGGTCCACTGCTTACAAAAGTTCGCTGGAAACCGATACAATTTATAATTATCCGCCCTTGCAACTCGATCATTATTATTGCATTACTAATATAGTTATTTCATAATGTTATCTGTAAGAATTTCAGTGTAATAACCTGCAATATACGGTGTGTATACGCGTGGTCTTCATATTTTGGGTACCACTCAGTGCAGTGCAGATGATACATGATGTATTTTGGCACATGCGCAGATAGGTGTATACGGTCTGTCTACACTCGCATGTGGCATAAAGTAGCATGCCATCACAGTCTCAATATGGAGAGCACTCTAGAAGAGGCAAGCATATATGTATGCTATAGCAAGATAGAATTTAGACTGATTACTTATTTAGAAAAGAGATGGCTTTCGATATCTACAAGCTCCATTTAGCCAGTAGTAGTTACAGGGTGTAAGGTTATTGGACTTTTCTGGAGTGTTGACAGGCATGGAGGTTTTTGCACAAACTTGATCAACAATACTCTAGTGGTTACTAGAGTATTGTTACTCGTATTATGTGAAACAAAAACTATTGATTTGTTTGCACTAGTCAAATTGTGATAATAATTCATGTATATGTATGTATGCCATACAAGTCAAATTACTCCCAAGATTGTGAATTATCTGGAGAAGTTTTATGTGTTTAGTTCCATAGATACACTTTGTATATAGTATGAAGAATAGGGAACAGCATATGGTAATTTTCAGTGAGATCTCCAGTGTGCATGTACAAATTTCCTTTTTGATATGCTGGAACCAATTTCTTCCACCTTAGGTTGAAATTTCCACAACTTGTGCTTCAATAGTACTAATAAGTATCACTTGTCCTTCTGTAAATCTGGATAATTCAACTAAACCAATATCCAGTTTCAGAGGCAATATGATCTACAGATAGAAAATAAGGGTAGTAAGTGAATTTGTAGATTCCTTTTGTCATTGCCGTGTGTTCAGTTAAAGGTAACAGTTTTGTATTTCTTAAAATATACGGCTGTCTTTTAGGCCAAATTTATTTATAAACAGCAACTTTGAATGCTAACACTCTGAAATTATATTCTCTATTTAAAAAGCAGCTGAAAAAGAAATTCACCAGTGGCATAAACTTTATTAAAATTGTTATATATTTGCAGGTGACAAGGCAATCTTCAGTGTTGACCTACATCCTGATGGTTCAAGATTTGCGACAGGTGGACAAGGACAGGATTCCTCTGGAAGGGTTGTGGTGTGGAACCTGAAACCAGTTGCTTTAGAGAAATATGAGGAAGATGAGAAGGTAATAATCATCAGATTTTTTTTTTTTAATCAAAAGAGCAAGCCTCTAAACCAAAGGTGTCAAACTCAGGACCTGCAGTCCAAATGTGGCCCGCTGGATGGTCATCAGTGTCAGACTGGGTAATGAGAATAATTATTGGTCTGTGAAGTTATAATCATTTTGAAATATCAGTCTTTTTAATGATGATATGGTGAGAAACCAGATATATACCTTTGTTGGTTCTCAAAATGGTAACTGAAATGAAAAGTGGCATGTGGAGAGAGTGACACCCCTTCTCTAAAATAACATTTGCATTGAATGATCTTATGGATACATTGTTGTATGTGTATGTATATGTAGCAGACTTCTGATGACATGATGGATATTAATATCAAATGGGTTGTTACTTTTGTCTACTATTTTCTTAGTAGTGCCCGTTCCAAAAGTTTTGAGAAATCATAGGGGAAAAAATTCAAAATCACATATGGTACAGTAAATGATAAGATAGGTGAACTACAACAGTAACATTAGGTGTTATTTTGTTGAATAGTAGTGAAATAGATGTATTAGTAAGTATGTTGAAAAAAAAAGCTTCACATAATGCCTATTTGAAAGTGTTATTTAGAGTTACAAAAAGTCAAATGTCGGTCCTAAATTCTGCTTTGATATTACAATATATTTTAGTGTAAGGAAGTATACTAATTTTGTGAAATAAATTTTTCCTTCAGGTACCGAAGTTGTTGTGTATGCTAGACCAGCACTTGGGTGTGTGAATTGTGTGAGGTGGTCTCAGAGTGGACGTTTCTTAGCTTCTGCTGGAGACGATAAAGTTATTATCATCTGGCAGCAGAGCAGTTATGGAGGCAAGTCCTTTACTCATTTTAGAGTATAGGATTACAAAGAATCAGTGAAGTTGTCAGTGGCCCAGTCAGTAGTAAAAATATCAAGACAATGAGTTAAAAAGGAAGATGTTGAGACAGATAGTGTATTGAGAACATTTGTTCTTGTTTGGTGAAGATCTGTTCCAGATTAAGATATTTTTCAATTCGTATGACATTTACATATTCACTTTTATATCTCTTCAAATATGTTTATTGATAAATTATTAAGAATTTCCTCAGCTTTATGTCACATGATCCTAAAGTTAAATGTTACCAACAGGTGGAGCTGTATTTGGTTCAAATGTTGTGAATGTTGAATCTTGGCGAAGTGTCACAACAC